TACTGTTAAAAATAAAATATCTAAGTATAAGCGCCTAAGGAAAAAGACTAAAAACCTCAAAGAAACGCGCATCGTCGAAGTCAAAACCCTACCAAAACCCATACATTTTCAGTATTTCTTAACTTTAAATACCTTATGATTATAACGTTGGATCTAATTAAGACATTTTTTAAATTAGTCCAGGTATTAACATATTCATAATCATAAGAACTTTCTTGTGAACAACCTAACATGTCGAAATATGCAGGTTACCTCATGCGCATATTTGATGACGTCAAAACTCTAAAATTAACAACTTTTCAGAAGCGAGATTTCACAAATTTCACTTTGTCATTTGCACAACACCAAAAACACTAATGTTGACCTCAATAAATTTTTGTAATTAAACCCATATATTTATTTAAATATTAGAACGGTTTCAACCTTCGTTACTACTATTGCAAATGTGATGCATAGTCTTAATCTATACCCTACGTTTTCATTATTTTTAGATATTAAATGCGTATTCACCATACCATCGGGGGTAAGAGAGCTATCTGGTTCACGTATCAAATAGTTTGTTATGATGGGATGATTTAAGTACGCAAATGGGCATTATGGCGTTTAAATTTAGTATCATGGCACTTGAATTACAGTAGGCGTTTATACATGTACCTAGCCTCAGCTACATAATACATATTCATAGTACTGTATTAACATAGAATGCTTGGTGTCACTCTGTGACTGGCGGGGTAAATTATTTGGATAAGATCACTGTAGCTCATAGGATCATATTAACCGGTACTTTTGACAAAATGTCATCATTTTACCTCCTATGAAAAGCTCTATAGAAACTATACAAAATTTAAAGAATCATATGTTAATGTATTTCTCGAATTGTTATTTAGGTGATATTTGCTGACATGTATTATGAGGGTACTTGTGATGAAAAATATGTAAAAATGCTTAAACATTTTACTTGTGTTCACAATTGATCAGTTGTAAAGAGGAACTTGAAGTAGTACATAGGAAATAAGAGAATTACTAATCATAGTTCGATATCGTAAGAGGTAAGTCATTTCAGATAATAAATCGGAAAATACTTTTAAAATCACTTCAAATTGATTGTTATGAGTTGTTAAAGGTATTTATAAGGAGGCCCGTCACCCTTGAGGCCCTTTTAGTTTGTTGAGTGTCATCCCAAGCGAACCCATTTTCTTCGTTCTCTGATCTGAGAGATGTTTAAGCATTTCTTTCTACTTTCTCACATTTAGAATTTTATTAGTTTGCATATCAGAACATTTGACATCTACATGGTGGTAAAAACGGAAACGTTTTATGACCATCAATTTTAAAGTCACAATGTTACATCACTTTAAAGAACATGCTCCAGTGGACACTACTTTGCCTAAGACAACCCACACACGTCGTCCAAAATGTTCGAACCTGACTTCTGCCTTTAGCAATACGTTAGAGTAGAGTGTATGATAATGATCTCAGGACACTTGTAGCCCGCAAAAGTGAAATCATCCGTGTCATTATAAGGCCTTATTTGCTAAGGAATGCATTCAGGTCATGGACAACTGTGTAGGTTTGTCTCCAGCACTTGGTAAAAAGGTGAAAATAATATAGAATAAAATATTAAATATACTGCTAGATAAGTTGTTTTAAGAAGGAATCTTAGAGAATATATTTTTTCTCTGTAGTCACGCACGATGATCGGATAAATGGGATGGAGAGGGGAAGCAGGCAATTTCTGCTCGAAATCTGGAAGATTTATTTTTAAGAGAAAGTTTATTGTTGAATTGCTATATGAACAGCTGGACCGTATGGTAAAATATGTTAGGTATTCTAAGATTTTTTTGAACCAACACGCTTTTAAAATATACGATCTATAAAAAAGGTGCAACGCCACCAATGGGCAAAAGCCAATGGTTTTGCCATTAATCAAGCAACAATGGTCAACACGACATGTTATGAATACTTGTGAGGGACATTACCAACACAAAATTAATGTAATTGCTTACTTTATAAAATACGTTTCCATAATTATATTAAAATAATCTAAAGTAATTGAGACGGGATGGAGAGAGGAGGGGGATTGAGAGGGGGGGGGGGGGGTTATACTGGGTATCTATGAGACAAGGAACATGTAAGAAATGTTACGATACTTTATTTTTTCCAACTTTCCCAATTCTTATTCTATTTTCAAAAATTCATTTGGTACGTGTACTTGGCCCAATGGGTACTGCATTAATGGCACGAAGGAATGGTACATCAATTGGGAACCTTCCTGGCAGATTATTCAATCTAAATTATACATCTGTTGAAGACAAGCACTGTTAAACATATAATGGTATGATAGATATCTAATAGGTTACAACTGAAACAAATGGACAGCTTCTGTTTTCCATGAAACGCACATGTCAAAATAGAGGTTTGACACGGTGTCTATGTTAAGTCTCTAAATCAGCAAGTAAAACGTTCACACAGCTGAATATTTAGAGATTAACAGTCCTCTCTAAGATGTTCCCAACCCAAACTCAACCTTACTCCAAGTACAAGTTATGGGAAATACTGTAACATCTCTTATCTTGTGTCAAAGAGATTTTACCCCTCTCCAACTCCTTGATATATGGGGAAAATATTGAATTTTACCCATTGGTGGCATTTCGCCTTTTTAAAAGTTCTTAAATGCGTATCGATTCAAAAAAATTAGAGTTACTAACATATTTTCCATACTCTTATTCATTTTGCAATTTCACAGTTAACATTTACTTGAAAGAATAAATCTTCCAGATTTGCTGAGTTTTTAGCAGAAATTTCGTCCTCCCCCTCTCCATACAATTTTTCCGATTACCGGGCGTGGTAATAGGAAATATTAATTGTTTCTATCTCAATGCAATGGTGGAATTTAATAAACTGCAGGTGTCAGTTAAAAGGACGCAGATGGTGTTTAAGTTATAAGCCAGATGGAGGAAATAGTTAGATTATACAGGTTAGATTATACAGGTAAGATTAAAAGTGATGTTTTCTAGAGTTCAGGGCTTTGCATGCACAATGTTAAGTAATATAAAATGAATTCGGAATTTTTTTTGCATTCCTCATTTGAGTCACATGTTATTTTTCAAATTTCAATCACTCCTTCCCAACGTTGTCTACATCTCTCACTTTTGCACGAATATACTACTGTACCTCGAAAAGAATATGAAGAAGAATGTTTTGATAAAATGTATAAAAACAAGAAAATTAAGTTAGAAAATTAAAAAAATTTCAGAAAAAAATTTGCACTGAATTTTCTCGTTTTTATACATTTTACAAAAAAAGCCTCTCATCAGTCTTTTTTCGGCACATAAGTGCACTTTTTCTGCAAAACTGGAAGATGTAGACAATGTTGGGAAGGAGTGATTCCTGTTTGAAAATACCATGTGACTCAATTGAGGAATGCAGAAAAATTCCGAACATGCACATTGGCCTTAAAATAGAATTGCACTTGGGCTCGAGTTTTTGAATATGTTATCGTGCCTCTTACAATTCTTAATCTAAGTGATATCAGTAAGTCATGAATACTATTGATTGGAATAAGTATCATAGTTTATTTTTGTCTCATCACAAACATATTTGCCAAGTTATTTTGGGGTAGTGCATGGAGGGGGGGGGGATCTATAAGTCTTTACGATGGAACAAATTCACAAGAAGTCGCGTATTTGAAAAACTTAAACTCAGTACCCCAGTAAGAAACTGGATATTACATCTCTGGAGAATGAAAAATGGAAAAAAATTGGAGTCATAAGAATAAATTCAAGTAACATGTCTTATCATGTCTAACATACACGTGATCCCTCCTCCATCCAATCCCACCTCCATCCAGTATTGATTTATTTCAATTATTTTTTGTAAAGCGCATGGAAACTAACTTTAAAAATTGAGCAATGTCATTAGTATTGTGATAATAGCGTCCATTATACCTATTTACTACAGGTTGTGTAGACCATTGTTGCCCGATTTATTGCAAAAACATACTACTTTTGCACGTTGGTTATGATGTGTCTTTTATAGATCTCATATCTTAGAAGGGTATCAGTTCAAAAAATACTAGATGACCTAACATATTTTGCCATGCACTGCGCCAATTCATTTGGCAATTCAATTGTAAATTTTCTCTTGGAAAAATAAATCTTCCATTTGTTGAATTTTCTTGCAGAAATCGCCTAATCCCCCTCCTTCCATTTTATATGATTACCGGGCGTGCATATACAGGGTGTCAAAAAACAACGGCATCCCCCTCTACAGCAAAAAATACTTAATGTTACATGGTGTGTCATATCTCATTTTAAAGACAATTTAATTCTGGAGTTACCTGAGAAATTTCAGCTTTATATCATATAATTTTACAGATTTACAGCTGATTCTTTATCGTTGGTATGGCCACCAGTTGCTACTCAAACAGCAGCTTATCTGGACAGATATGATTTCAATGAAAATTCAGATAAAGGTGTAGCATTGCATAATCCTCTAAGCACTTTCCCCACATTCTTCAGAAAAACATCCTCACTGTGTCTTTTTTCAAGAGACACTTCGCCCATCAGTTCCTATACCCTGTTTTTCAGAACTGAACCCATATGTTCAGTGCAGTTGAAATCTGGGCTAATTCTTTCATATTCCACTATCTGAAGATTTGACCTTTAATCAGTATTAGAGCAGCAAACAAAGAACTGAAGCAGCAAACTTAAAAACAATGTAGCTTTTTCAATATAAAGTTTTATTAAATGAAATTGGAGGAGTAACTCCAGAATTAAATTATCTTTTAAATGAGGTATGAAACGATATGGAACATTCAGGACTTTTTGCTGTAGAGGGGGGTGCCGTTGTTTTTTGACACCCTGTAATAAGATTAATTTTGCTTTTACATCACTCAGTTTCTAGACACATTAATTGATACTTTTATACTCTTTATTCACTACACTGCATAGTTTATTTCATTACATACAGTTAAGCGAGTGATTGGATAGGGAATAACTATGGTCACAATAATTCCGCTGCCCTTGAAAACAGACACGTTGGAGTTTCTGCTAGACCAGGCTAAAGATTTTGCTATTACACACGGTAAGAATTGTGCACGTTTATTAAAAAAATAATATAACAAACTTGTAAATGTTGTTCTTGTTGGACCAGGCTAATTTTTTCGTTCAAAGACTTCCAAAAGTGATTTCATTGTATCAATAAATATAATGCTATAAAAAATGATAGGGATATGGAAATGCAATATGAAAATCCTAGGTTAAGGCAAGATGTTAACCATTTTTGTTGAAAATCCCGTATACTTAAACAAAACGATGCTAAATATACACTGAATTTGATTCATGCATATACACTAATATAATAATTGAATCTCATATAGAATAGAGGAGTTGCTATATTGATGAATAAATATATAGCAGTTTTGTTTTGGGCAGAATACTATTTGTAATATGAGACAGCTGACAAGAAGTTACTCTTTCTTTCTTTCTATTGACATGCTATACTAATTGACCTTAATATTGACATTAAAATTGTGACCCTCAAAGAAAAAATTAAATTGTAAACTTGCTTATCACTGTGTCTATTATGATTAAGCCCAGCCTATTAAAGAAAACTTGTAGACAGGAAAATAACTGCAAATAAAAGTTGGTCCATGGAGCCTTCAACGAGATTTCAGAGCAATATAGCAAAGCCTCTGTTAATGATTATCAGGATAATATATTTTTATATGATTCATTTTTGATTCATTTTAGGAATAACTAGTTGTAATACTAATGACCAGCCCCAGGTTGCTTCACACATGTTGTTGCCTTCCCCTATTATAAGAAAAAGGTTTGCAGAAGCTGTAGAAGTTACGAAAGATTTCAACGAGCTCTATCATAAAGTTGCGCATGATTACAACTTCCTAAGAGATGCTTTAAAAAGGTATATGCGTATTTATTATTCTTATATGATACATGACGTCACCATAGTTCGAACAATTTATGTATTGGTCTATATTAAAGTATGTATGACCGCTAAAATTCATTAATGGAAATAGTTGTTTTTCTTGTCTGTCAAGTACATTAGAATCGTAACAAATGACACGAATTTATGATTCATGGCGAATATTTGACTTTAAATTTTATTTTGGCCATTGCCAAAGACCCCAATTGCGATTTAGCAATGAAGAAAATACAATTTCGGTCATGAATCATAAGATCTCGGTCTTTATTCCATAAATGAGAATCATGTTTTATCTCAATCTGTCATACATAGTTCCCAGATAATACAAGTGTTTGAGATTTACAGGAATAACTTCAGTTTAGTTCTGTTCATGAAATGAACACAAATGAATGAATTGACACAAAATGAATGAATTGACACAAATCTCTAACATCATTTCCTTTGAAATAATGTATGAAAACTAATGTACACAAGTTTGCTCAATCTAGGTCAAACCCGAAATGATCATCCGTCTGATGTAAAATATAGTATAACTAGAAAAGGTTAAGCGATTTTGTTGAAATTTAATACACATACGTACTTTAAAACATGGAACATTTTTTTGCTTTAAAAAGGCAACCATTTGAAAAGTGATGGTAGAATGATTGTGTCTTTATAGGAATTTGTAAATACATGCAAAAATTAATCAATATATTATGTGATTTCTAGGATTTCATGTTCGATGAAATTGCAACATTTTGTCATTGGTGTTATCTAGTTACAATACAGCTCCTTTGTCGTTGAAGTACTTTATATTGTCACCTCACTAAATCTAGGTCAAGGTCAAATTTACCATCCAAATGTTGTAAAATATGGAATGGTAGCAATGTGTTCTTATTGGTCAGAAATTAATATAGAACGCCTAGCTATGTTTGAATTTTATTGATTCTAGTGTACTAGCAGTTGATAGTTTCACCAAAGGATTGTGGAACATCTATGAAACTGTAAGAAATGAAGGCATCGCACAGGTATAATTCAATCTATATTGTATCACCAACGCTTCTTTTTGTATTGAACTGTTATGTAACTTTTCACCATTTTATAACTAAGAAAATGTCTGTTTTAGTAATAATATATACATTTTTGAAAGTTCTCTATTCTATGTCATCCATAACATCATCATGACCAAGGCCGTTCTCGTGTTGCAATATTATTTCCCTCTATGAGCCACCTTTTAAACATCAGAGCATTAACATATAACCAAATATGCAGCAGCAAGTTATCACCAATTTAGTAATAAGGAAGTGTCTAGTTATAGATTAGAACGTATTTTGGATAGACTTCTCTATATAGAGTTGGCCGTTTAAATGTTCTTTAAAAATCTAGCAAAAATGAAATGTCAATACTTATATACAAAAAACATTGCTTGTTCTGAATGGAATTGTGATGAATGTTAATTTTAATTTTTAATGTTTCAAAGTTATGCCTTGGTCACATTTGCTCCGATTTGCTCCGATTGCTTTTTCTTAATTTGCTCCGGGTGCCGGCCGATGAATCTGAGCAAATGTGACCCAGGCATTAGAGTTGAGACACCGAATTATGCAAGTGACAGTGAACTGTTCAATAAGAACTAAAAGAAATATAAGTTTGATTTTAGATAAGAAAGTAAAGCTAAAGGTACCATTAATCATGAGGCATTGGAATACCTTTTAATATCTCTACATTCATCATAACGCACCAAAAGGTGGACATTTAGCAAAAAGTCTTTAAATCAATTCTCGTTCTCGTAAGGATATTTGCAAAAATCACGATAATATCTCACTGGTTACAAACATATAATTTTGACATGTTATCACATGAATTTCGCTAAAACAATATAATAAAAAAGGGATGTATATGTATTTATTATATCACAACCAAATTCCCCCCTCTCTAATTGGTTCATGTCTTATACGTGATTAAAAATAACAACATAAGTCTAGTGACTTCCGTGGAAAATTAAATGATGTTCACTAGTTGCGACTTAGTCTTGTGTTATATCAATTGTATATCGACGGAATACATTGTTATGATTAATTAGACATCAATAGTTTGTTATTCCATTAACTCTAGTGAGTAATATAACAGTGGATAAAAAAACAAATTCTAGTTTTCGGTGAATACCTATGACACTTTCACAAGATGATATTCAACTAGCCCTTCGGGCTTCATGGAATATCACTTGTGCAAGATGCACGGGTATTCACCTCAATAGAATTAAACATTTGCTCAATATTTGTTGAGTCGTAAGCCACATTATTCTACAGTGCATCTATTGTATTGCCATTTTAGGGAACAATTTCTTTGGAGATGACATCAAAGAATTGCTATCTAAGATTAAAGATTTAAATGAAAGAACACAGTATATTTTAATGGAAAGAATCAGACCACTTGTGTTCAAAAACTATGCAGTATGGGCAGACAAATCAGTTGAATTATGCGATATGGTCAGTGAATTGGGAATATATGGAGTCATAATAGGGTAAGAATTTGACTTTTATAATACTTTTATAATGACTTATAGAACACTATACGATGTATCTGCCTGTAGACATTCTAAATGTAACTAGAAGATAGTACCATAAACATTCTATTTAGAAAAATATCCCATGATACAATATGTTCAAAACAAAATAAACTATAAGTGATTGTAGGTTTTAACCAATCATAGCATTCATCAATTACACACTTACAAGAAAGCTCCATCGTGAAATCTATCTTTGCCTCATTGCATCGTTTAGAACTTTAATATTTCTTTTATTTACAATAGTGTCAAATCATGACACATTTTTCTATGTACAAACTAAATAAACTTTAAAACTTTGAGAATACGTCATGGATAAAATAAACTCATTGTATCTCTTAAAACATACACAATCAATGTTTTTCTATGAACATGTATGTTTATTAGCTATCTTATGAATTATAAAATTTCTATATGTATCAGGTGTCCCAAAAATGAATCACCTTTTGATTTTTCTCAACAATTGTTGACTCAAGATTATTGAAAGGGTTTGTAGGGTATCATTAGCAAGTTGTACGAATAAAAAAGGATCGATTGCATATTATGTGAGAATTGACAAATTAAAAAAATGCATGTAAACAGCCAGTATCCGAGGTGCGCAATAAGATTCCGTAGCATTTGTGTCTGCTATCAAGTGATTGAATCTGTCAATCAGTTTTAATCTCAAAGCAGATGGTATGTGTGTCAGGTTAAACTTTCAATATTTCAGCTTTGGGGGACAAACGATGCCTTCAAAGGGACTTAGAAAAATAGCGACATTGACCAAGGTGTTTACATTTACGGATTAAAAGGGTTTATTCGTTTTGAAAGGGTGTATGTTTTGAACATTTCATGCAATACAAAATAATTCCTGGTTTCCCCTAAACGCTTGTGAGTTGACTGTATCGCTGCTTCCGCAATCTTTATTGAATTGTGGCCTCAGGTGTGGTAGGTTGCGAGTTCTTTTCCCAAAGGAATATATCATTTTTTCATTTTTAGTTGTGGCCTCGCTTGTTATTATGCAGAAATAAACACGTATCAGAGTACTGTAGCATGATGTCAGTTTAATAAAAAATTAAAAATTAATGTGTAATTCAATCTACACATTCTGTTTTCGATACATGTGTGTCTCCTAGACAGAAATAAGTTATTTAGTTAGTAAAATATTTATTAAAGTCTCACACTGTAGTTTACAATACATACTGAAATAATATCATACAATAATTAACAATCCCGCCGGTTTCGGTGTATGAGAGACTATATAAATATCTTTTTCATTGATATTTATTTTTCCACGTGCACTTTTGAATTTGCCAATTCTCAGATAATATGTAACTGATTTCTTTCATACTTGTACAGTGATAGTTGCTGATGATACCCTCGGACTACTCTGTAGACATTTTCAATGAATCTAATCAATCAATTGCTGAGACAAAAGTTGTCAAAAAATTATTCATTGTTTGGGGACACCAGACATTTATTTTATTGAAAAAAGTCTCAAATCATGACCCATTACTCCCTGGACAAAATTAAGAAACTAATCTTAGTAGAAATTAAAACCAAACTATGAGTATAAATAGATAAAAAATTTGAAAGCCTATAGATAAAGTTTAGTATACTGTACTTCGGCTTGGCAATATAGCAGTCTAATTGTTAAGTTATCCTGTGTTAAGTTAAAGTCACTAACACCATTAAAGAGGACCTCTTAGAAAAGTTAAATTATGATATTATGTAAGATGATATTTTGTTTTACTTTTAGTTATTTCGATATATACTTTAAAGTTGCATATGGATATTCTAAATCAATGTTATTGTAAATGATATATACTGTGCCTGTTCTTCAATACAATTATTATATTATAAATCTTTTGTTATGTTCCAATATGTTAACTTTATGAAAATGAAACAATAAACTACAATTTAATATTTTCAGGACAGCAGATCACATTATAATGAACAAAGAATGTGGGCATCTGGTACGAACTAAAACTCTGGGTACTAATGAAGGTGGTTTATCTAAGGAATTTGCGTCTCTAGACAGTCCATATCTTGTGTAACTACACGTGTAGAATCGGCCAATTGATATAAAGAATAAATACTGATGAAGGCGGTATATCTAAGGGCTTTGCGTCTCTAAACAGTCCATATGTTGTGTAATTACACTTGTAGAATCGGCCAATTGATATTATAATAAATAAATACTAATGAAGGTGGTATGTTTGAAGGTTTTGCAGCTTTAGACAGTCCATATATGGTGTAATTACACGTGTAGAATTTCCAAATTGATACAATTAATAACAACTAATGAAGGATGTGCGCCTGGTGGCTTTGCATCTCTAGACAGTCCATATTTATGTTCGTAACTTCAGTATTTTCATTCATTGTTTGCATTTTCTGTTCGTTAATCTGTTCGTCAATCGTTAAAACGTCTATGTTCGTGTTTTAAACTGAAATACATTCAAAAGTCCTCAGAAGTATTTGTAAGGGACACATTGTATATCCATATTCAGATAAATTTAGGTTCATTTTGTACCTTTATCGTAGTTTCTGCAAATATATATCTATTTGATACATCATATATGTATTTGTAACTTAGGCATTTTATTTGTAAATGTTACATAGATATTCGTATAGGGGAACATATTACAGGTTTCGTACACTGTACTAAACCTGTATGAAACCTGTACCGAGGATATATACATGTTTGGTACACTGTACTAAACCTGTAAGTTTTCAATCAATTGTATACTGCAACTTTAACTTTTAAATGAAGTAAACATCATAGGGGAGGAGAGCCTCACAACTCATATAAATTATATATTTTTATTTTTATATTATTTTTTCCAATTTTTTAATTGCACTGATATATGAGGGTTATGTTATGGGAGGTTTTGGATATGGGGTATATACCGATATGATATCTTACCGAGGCCCCGGAGGGCACGACGTAAGATATCATATTTCCCGAGGGATATACTCCATATCCAAAACCGAGCATCACATAACTAATTTATCCTATGACAAGTGACTTTTATCTATGATGAAGCTCCCACTGAACTCGGCTGATACTCCTTTCCATTTTTTCCCCGGGAATATTGGTGCGGGGAGATATACAGCGGGATATATATATATGTCCCGCTCCTCCAAGATATCGATTTTATATCCCGCTGTTATGTACCTGAAACCTCACTTGTCGTGGGATAACCCTTTTTCTAGGTTTCTAGTGCCAACAATGTGATACTTGATAATTAAATTACGTGAATAATAAAAATATTGCACTGCAGTTGAAAGAAATATATAGAGTATCTTATATATATATATATATATATTGCATTGCTTGATAAAAAAGAAACCCCTATTTGAATTACAGGTAACACATTAAGACCTACATGTAGTACCCCTCATTGTCTTTTTATCGTACCAAAAATATATCTGATATTGTCATTAACTTGACGTGGGGCAGGCGGGCAGCGTCTCACTTTCTTGTAATCATGATTAACTGAAAAATAGATAACTATCACCAAAGTCCGATTAGTTCTCATTACAATTTCTATGTACAAATTTATATTTAATTATTTTTTTGATAAAAAGGCTCTTTTTCTGATTTTTTTTTCAGAAAATGTAGATCCAATATGCAATAACACATACAGTGCTGAACTATAATAGCCGTACCTTAAATTATTTATGAGATAAGTTTGCTTTATTGTAACCTGTATTAAGGTTAAAAGATCAATTAAATTATAACATATAAATATCATGATAATAACATGTTATTTTTATTATTTTAAAGCATGCGGAAATCAAGCAGTTTTCTTAAAAAAGCTTGGTATTGTGACTCGTTGTTAGTTGCTAAACAAATGTTTATTTGTGCTTACTGTAATATCACACAAACATACATACATACAAACATGCATAACGACATTTGAACCGATATTTAGGGAGGGGCATATGTCCTTATGCTTTTAAAATGCCATTTGGTAAAAAATATTAAGGCTTTCGGGTCGCATTATGTCTGTCATCACAAGAGGTCAAAAAACGTGAAACTTTTCATGCGCATTTTAGTGCATTTTATGAGACTCAAATTGTAAATCGAAACTTGTGTATAATTTAAAGGATTAGGATTACATAGAAATATAATACTATTTTAACGTAAATGTCATTTTTCAATTAGTGCATTGCACTAGAATTCTTTTCAACGTTTTATTATTTAGAAAAAAATAAGACAGAGCAGATGTGACCAAATTATGCGAAATATTCAGAAAATCTATAATTAGTAACATATTAGTTTTGTACTTATAGAAACAATGTATTCACGGAAATATTTCTTGCATTTTCAAGGGTCAAACAACGGATTATTGTTAATGGTATTCAAAACGTAATCAAATACAAATATAAAGGATGTATCATTTAAATAATTAATCTAATTTTGGTATTGGAATGTTTACATTTTTAAACTAGATGATTTGCATCGAGGAATAAAGAAGGCGCAGTCAAATGCGTCGCAAATATCATAGTGTCACAATGCTGTACTCCCACAATAAAATAACCATGCAATGTTGTAAGAAAGTAAACATTGAATGCATTATAATATATTTCAGTTTTAATTATCGATTGTTTTATAAATGAGAACGCTAGAATGATTGATTAAGAAACCAGAAATCAACTTTCGTGGTTGACGAGTGACTATATTCAGGACGATTTGATGCAGTAGAGCAAGATTTGTGAAATTCAAGATAGTAATTTAGTTTTTTGAACTGTCCCTTGCGAAGACAAGATTTAGTTTTTGTTTCGATCATAACTTGACAAATGTTCGTTCTATTCTAAATGTAAATTTATAAGTGAGAGCCATACTGTCATTAATAAGAACCAGAAACCAACCTTCGTGATGGATGAGTGACACCGTTAGAGACGATTTCATTCAGCAGGGCGAGATTGTGAATTATACGAAATTAAAGGTACTCATTTATATTTTATTTCATTGACTATCTATATTTTATCATCTGTGTTCACGATATGTATCGTTGTTCCAAGGTGTGACCCTATCAATTATATCAACTCACCCATCGCGTGCAAAGTCCCGATTGGAATTTGGAGCAATTTATAGTGTTGCACACATCCAATCTTTCAGACGAGCCTCCGATATTTAAAGACGACATCGAATCATTTTTTGTAAGACCGGTTCTCTCAATTTTTTCAGCAATCCAACATCTCTCGTTTCCGATCTTTCCATTCGAGTTTTAGGAAGCCATACTTCATTTTATAATTTGTAACTTTTTATCAAATCAGGCATTATTCATTTGTGCACAAACTCTATGTCGCCAAAGCCATGCGAATTGCACTTTTACGAATTGTTGTGAGTGTTGTAAGATACATTTTCCTTTCACGTTGTATATTGATTTGGGATAGTTGGATTTTCTTTCCATTTGGCAATGAGATCTTAGACATTTCATTTTCCAATATGTGAGGTATTCGTGTTTGTGAGTATATTCATGAGGCTATTATGTTTTTGATTTTTCATGTGAGATGTTACTTTTTTTGCGAATGCATTGTGTTAGGCAATATTACCTGTGATTTATAAACGAATTATTAGTTCTATATAAGAGCTTTCATGAGAGGATTGGTTTTATGCGAGTGAATCCAAATGCTATAATCACTGATTTTTATTTGAGGTATTTTGTTTTGTTTAATGAACAGTGTTCCTTTTTGTAAAATAATTTCTGGATTTTGCGACCGTTTAAGTTTATGTACTCGAGATGCTGAAGGATGTGGAGATTATTTTAGGCATTGTCAATTAAATTGCTAAAACTGAAGACTTTAGGTTTGCAGTGGGATGCTGACCCTTTTAAACGTTAAACGAATTATAATATCTATCTCAAAGCATTAAGACCAAATTCTAAATATTGTATATCTAATATATTCAATGCTTTATTGTACTAAAAATCCCTTTCGGGTGAGTGGACAGCAAATAAACATGATAAAATAAAACTAAAACTATACATACAATTACAATAACATACAATGCAAATTTTACATGGCATATAATGACAATATAATGTGATTGACTGATCATTAGATATATACCAACAACTACTATTAGCCTAATATACTATTAGTATTGTTATGAGTATTGGCAATTTGATTTTTATTCAATTTGTGTTGTAATAACTCGAGTATAATGAGGTGCTACTTGGTGTAATGGTCTGGGAATGATGTTTATACTTAGCTCGTGGGTCGGGAGGGGTTGATAGACGTTTGACTTTAGGGTGGTATGACATATTGTTATAGTTTCCAACATAAAGTCCATTGACAGTACATATTCGGCGTTCGGTGTATGTAACGAATATGCGTTGGCATTTTGCATGTTGATGCTTTGATATTCCCTTATATTAGTATACTCTTGAACACATTCCATTTGTTGCTGTGCCTTTTCCATTTCCACTTGTGCGTTCATGTTTTGTTACTTCAGAATTCTGATTTTCTATTAATGTGTAACAAACAGTATAATATAACAACAATTATATTTGTCACTGCGATGCATTGCATCGATTCATTTTTACATTATTGCCGACATTTCTCAAAGATCCATGTAGTCAAATGTTGAAGATATGGTCCTTATATAAGCAACCAATTCATGTTCAACCATATGCAACAATTTTCAATCGCAGACGGCATTAGACAAGGAATAACAACGAGTCTCCCTATATTGGCAATTGACCCCTGAATACGGCTGTCCATATCTCAAAATGTGTTACAACTAATTTAGTAAAAAACTGACATATTATAACCATATGTTATTCACAGGTAATAAAGGTGCCAATATATTGATTGCTTCACCAATATCTCCAAAACAACATAAAATGTTGAAACCTTGATTTTTTATATATAAGGTATTTCAAGGAACACATACCGCAAAATTATAGCCAAGAAACTTGATGTATATATTTAAAATATTTTCATGTGATTTTCTTTTAATGTTTGTACTTTAAATTATGAAAAAAATACGAAAAACGTTTTACACGTTTTTTGACCCCTGATAATGACATGCATTATTCGGCCTAAAAGCCTGCCGTATTTATCACGGCTATACAAAAATAAAACGCGGGACACATGTAGGTATCTAAATATAAGCTCAAATATCATTATGCAGATATGGTGCC